AGCCAGACGAAAACAACAAAGAAGATGATTTGTGGTGTGTAGTCATAGTCTATGCTGGAGTAATCATTTGTCTCTCTTTGCCTCTGTGTGTAAATATGGTCAGTGTGATTCATGCTGCTGAATGCAGTTTAGAAAAGCCCGTGGTAAGGATAGCTGGGAGCAGCAGGTAAACACATAGACAAGGAAGAGTATTCAAAGAATGTGTCCATCATACCACATGGGCGACCTTTGTGCTTTATAAGATGCAGCATTCTACAGTCCTATTCATAAATACATTAATCAAAAGTTGATTTTGACTCATACACAGCAGCAAATATATCCCAACTTTCAGAAAAAAATGTTAGCTGGGAAACAAGTTTTTAAATATTTGTTTCAGAAATGAGTTAGAAAGTTAGGATAATAAAAAAAAAAATTAAGCCACGTACTAAAGTTTTACCTGAACTCTTGTCACTTTTCCGACGTTATTAACAAAGTGTTATCTTGTAATAATAAACGTTTACCAATATTTAGTTTTTAGTTGTTACTCAGCAAAAAGCTAACGTGATGTTAGAAATTCCGTGTCACGTCGCAATAATTTCTGTCTGTTTGTTTAACCAAAAGCGTCAACAGAAAAGGGGCTTTTTCTTACCCTCCTGACAGCGAACATCAACTAAACAGGCGCAAAAAGTAATCCAAAAACTAGTAAAAACAAACTTCATTCCATCCTCGATGATTTTGCTCTTTCCAAGCATGATTTCCAGCCCTGTCCAAGGAAAAAAGTAAGGTGCATACTTCGATGGGTCGAGTTCTCGCTTCAATAAAAACTCGCAGCAGAATATCCTGCGAAATTACTATTGGCCACGAGTCGTAAACTCGACTTCCTATTGGTTAGGATGACTGTCAATCAAATGATCCCGGGCATTCCATTCTAAATGTATGGGACTCCAAATGTGTCTGTATTTGTTCACGCCAGCACAGTGGTTGTAGAGGTTTTCATAGCACTACCTGTGTAAATGCCATATTTACGAAAAGCAGCATACCAACAAACTAGCTCAAAGACAATAGAGAAAGGAAAGAAATAATTTTGTCCACGAGTAAAACAGTCTACCACTATCCACTGGGACTACATTTTCACATGAAGAAAGCAGTGAAGTTATGTGGTCCAAATATGATTTCAACTTGAAGTCCAAGAGAGGACTTCAAGTAGAAATATTATCCTCCAAAAAAGGTAAATGACAGACTTTTAGAAGTTATTCCAGCAGAACAAATAGATACAAACTAAAGTCCCAGGAAAAATACTAAAAAAGGAACGTGAGAAGAATCATCTAGCACTATGTGAGCTATGCTGTCCTCACTCGGCATCACTAGTCAGCCCATGCTTACGAATTGTATCCCACTAAACCTTATCAAAAGTCGAAAACGGTCCATTTAACTCGCAAAATCACAACGAGCAACAATTATTAATCCCTATCGTGTTGCGTTTGCTCAATAGTTGTCATCAACTTAAGTGCGAAACTGCCATCTACTGGTGAAATACAGGCAACAGCAGAACACGTCAAGCTTGTAGTCCCAGATCACTAATAAGAATATGATACTCACATATTACTGAAGTATTTCTTATGCAGTGTTTTCTGCTTTCTGTTTGTGTGTGTGGAGGAGAAATTTAAATACCGGGTGAATAAAGTCGCCCTGCCCGTGAACTTTTACAGTGGAGCACAAATCCAGCCTCACGAGGACAGTTTGACCGAGTTACACATCGCGTGCCAACAGAGCGGTTCTCGTGACAGCGGGACAGATGCTTCTCAGGCAAACGCTGCCTTGGCTGCAGGAAGGGCAGCGACACAGCTTGGCTCACGCTGCCGTGTCCCTCTGAACAAGCGGAGGATTAATTATTTTTTTACGCTGTTTACACCGTAGAGTGCGAGGAGTGGAAGTGGACCCCGGTTTTTGTTTCTGTGGATCCTGTGTGGGACGGGAACGCGCGACAGGGGTGCGTGATGCCGCCCCAACAGACGTCAGAGTGAGGCTGTGAAGAGGGTAAGAAAGGCACGCAACTGTCCGGGTATGCTAATCCAATATAGACTAATTTGAAGAAAACGGCTGAATATATTTAGTTCATTGTAGTCTGTCTGATACTGTGGTTAGCTGTCTCTTCCTTTCGTTAAGTTCCCCTGAAAGATAGGCTGCTCTTGTTCTATTATTGCAAAGGCTTCAACTGCATTTGCGTTCACTGTCAAATTGAGAGCGGCTCATGACAAGAGTATAAGAATTGAAATTAGTTTCCCATCATGCCTTGTCTCACATAAATGACTAAACATTTCAAGTTTAACTCATTACATTTAATCCAGACATTACAATTCCTGCAGCTAATATTTTGTGTTACATTCGGCCTCACAGCCTTCCTGACTCGCTGCTACAGGAATGTCACTATTGTTTCAACTTTTCCCCAATTACTGATATACGCCGCGGTGATGCAGCAGATTGTTTTGTGCCCATCTAATGAATGGACATTGACATTTAGAACCTCTCTGAAAACTATGGGTTTTTGCTGAAAGACACAAACGAGCAAATGTCACGCAATTGTTGAAGTTTGAACACTTATTCGGCTTTTTAAAAACGTTTTTCATAGACAATAAAGTTTGTCAGTTGAATTGTACAAGATACATTTGCGTTAACCGCAACAAAAGAAATGGTTTTGAAATAATTCATCATCATCAGTTTTACGACCACATTTTGAAATTACGGTTAAGTCCAAAACATTCCAAGTTATTTAATTTCACTAACATGCTCCTTCTGGCAAAGTATGGACTCTTTGTATGGAGTTTAAGATTAGGAAAAGAACGTTTTTTAATCTCAAAGACTTGGAGTTCATCATCAAAGATAAATCCATTGGTCATTGAGACAGTCATTTTTGGCACACTGTTTTTAGTAAAGATATTTTTTGGATGAACTTTTGGTCTCTTCTGTTGCCTGATGCTTTTGTACAATCAGATTATTTTCATTTTTTGTAACCTTATTGTGAATGATGATTTTAGCTAAATAACGTAATTAAAATGTCAAGAAAATCCTACTTTTAAGAGCTGAACTCCACAGTTGATCAAATTCCCTAAAAACAAAGCAGGCGTGAACTCCAGAGCACTGAATACTAACAATAAATTAAACCAGGGTTGTGTGGTTTTTCTTATCCCCCATCCAATAGATTTTTTTTAAATTGAATTGTATGGAACCTCTCACATTAGAGTTGGAAAATGTTCTGAATAAGCTGCATTCCTCATCTAGAATATCCCAGCATGCAGAGGCTGTTTTAACCTAGGCATGAATTAATTCTGAAACAACAGGAAATTATTTTTATCCAAAAATATGTAATGGAAAGTATTTGTGTTTGATCTGAACATTAATGTGATTCACCTGTTGTCTCTGTACAGCCCTGCTGGGAGGTGAGATGGCTGCTGCTGAATGGGTCTCTGAGCCTTCAGGCAAAGTCATGGTGGTTAAAACAGAGAAGCAGGAATGCAGGGACAACATCCATCAGAGACAAATCATCCTGCAGCTAAATGGGTAAGACGATTGCACGGAGGGGTACCAGTCGTTGCCTTGGAGTTTAAGTCTTAGTCTTCATATCAGAATCACATTTTTAAATAACCAAAGCCTGGAGGGAATACAAAAAAGAAAACAACAAAACCATTATTGTCCCATTATATCTGTGTGTGAGCTAAACTGATGTAGAAAAATGACTGTTTGTATTGTATATGCTGTATATTCTTAAGTTAACGCAACAGTCCAGTGTGCAGAGAAAGTAAAGTAAGGTTTGTTTCATTTCAAATGTGAATTTATGTCGCCCTCTGCAGGCTAAATGGCGACAGTGTCGGTACTGCCACCAGAGTTTTAGCGATAGAGACACATCAAAGTAAGTAAAGGCATGCAAACCAAAAATATTATCTCTTTAAAACTTAATGAACATATACAAAAAACACACATTTTGTTCAATACAACAGAATCATTATGTATAGTACTCAGCATAGTGCTGGGTGATAGTCTCAGTGTTGTAATTGTTCGATTATTCTTCCGGTGATGTTTTTTTTGCTGCATCCTGTGAAGGTGACTGTGAAGCCGATGGAACAGAGATAGAGTATGGCTACCCCATCACTTGTGGAGACAGCGCAGCAGTCCTGCTGTTTAAGAAGTTTGTCTGTCCTGGAATCAATGTACGATGTGTTAAGGTAGGTCAATATGCTGAATGTGTCCAAGAGGTGCTGATTTATTACGGGAGAGCCAACCACGGTGTACTTTTTTTTTTTTTTTTTTAAATTTTTGCTCCATTGTTCCTTTAGATTTATTCTTTCTCTTACTATCTTGACATTTAAATGAGAGACTAATCAGGAAAAAGGTTTTGTCCTGGGGGACACAAGTTCAACTTCTACCAAACAAAAACAACAAAACATGGACTCACACTTTTAGAGAATGTGTTGAACTGTTCCCTATTTCAATAAACTGATCACACTTACAGCGTTTTAAGTTTTTTCTTCTTTTTTTTTTTGCAAAGAAAATAGACAAATAGACAAATAGACCCACCTAATAAATATTTTATGAAACTCCATAATAAGTGACAAAACACAATAGCCTAAATTTCCATCTGAGTATTACTAGCAGAGGTACTGATTGACTTATCAATCAGTTATCAGTAACTTTAGAAATCTTCTTGACATTTAACACATTAGGTTTAGATGCTTCACTGAATCTGCCGCCAACTGAACCACCAACATCGTCCCATCATTGAATTTTGATTTGACACTAAATACCACTTTTCTCCAGACATCAGTTTTTCACCTCTGCTCTTACGTCTTTAACCCACACTAACCATGGTTTCTTTGTTGGTATTAGAAATGCTTTATATTTGGCTTTTCTATACATACATTCTATCTCCTTCTGACATTATCTCTATTCGTCTGTTGTGCATTTTTCAATTTTCAAGGTGTGTGACTTTCAGGTTCCTGTCCCTTTGTGTTTTGACCTTTGTTGCCTGTAGTGCACTGTTTTCTTTTTGCAACTTTTGCAATTTGTTTGTGCCTGTCACCACTTTTATACACAGCTGAGTGCTCCGGCACACTGGGTTGAAGTCCTGCTTTGAAAGACTTTTATACATTTCTTCCATGATGGATCTCCTGTTAGAGAATGATTTTCAATCAAAAAAAAAAAGAAAAAAATCACTTCACATTTTTCTTAGTACATTTTGCAAAGCCAGAATGTTCAGATGAAATAACTCTGTGTCAAATCTGTGATTTCTCCTTTTTCTACAAAAAGAAATGGATGAATGAGCTTCCTCCAAAAAGAGTAATTTATATTTTCATGCTCAGATTCGATACTCCTGTTGCTTGAGGCAGATTTCTCCCACCCTTTGTCGTTTCAAACTCCACAGATTTCCGTCTATATCGTAACACATTTATGATGTTATTAACTTAATACCTTTCTGTTTTTCTTGTATGGTTGATTGAATTGTAAATTATTCCAGAGGAATAAAATGTAGGCTAATCATTACATGGGTTAACAGCCTATTTTACTTTTTATATGACTGTTTACATGATATAAATTGCCCTGTCTTGCTTTTTACAGTTCAATGACCAGCTCATTAGTCCCAAGCAGTTTGTACACTTGGCAGGAAAAGCCACTCTGAAGGACTGGAAAAGAGCCATCAGAGTGGGAGGGGTTATGCTCAGGTAAGATTATGAAACATTAAGAAACATCTGTCTTTCTGTTAACAACCTTTAGTTCCACTTTCTTGTGCCGACTGTCATGTTTATCATTTTAAAACGGATGAATGTCATGTCTTGTGCGGCATCTTGTGAAACTATTCAGAGCCTTAGTGCCATCCAAATTTGTTCATGTTGCAACCACAAACTTCAATGTAATCTGTTGGGATTTTCTGTGATAGACCGATACAAAGCATAAAAATGGAAGGAGAAGCATACCTGTTTATTGGTTCTAAAGAAAAATCTGCATTTGTATTTATTCCCTCTTTGTCTAATACACCTACATAAAATCCAGTGCAACCATGCTTCTTTAAAGACAGATAATAAATAGGGTAAAATGGTGTGTAACTTAAGTGCATTATTCTGTGAAGGCATTAAAGGTTTGGTAGAGAACATTAGTAAAAAAAAAAGCCAACAACATATATTCATGGAGGAGCTGCAAAGATACTCTGCTCAGGTTGAATTGGTCTATTAGATAACTTTTTATACTCCACAAATCTGGCCTTTGAGTAGAGGCAATGAGAAAGTCATTGTTGAAAGACAAGCATTCGAAGTGTCACTAGGAGTTTTCCACAGACCATGAGGCAAAACCAACAAACACGTGGAAGAAGGTACTCTGCTCAAGCAAGACCAAAAGGGAACCTTCTGTGTCATACTGCAATTCCTCCTCAAAACACCATCCCCCCTTTGACAAATGTCGATACCATGATGCTTTAGTAAACTTTTTTCTTTACAATGATAGGGAAGCTGGTTAAAGTTGATAGGAGGCTGCAAAAAAAGACTTGAGAGTGGTGCAAATGTTCACCTTCCAACCGGAAAATGACCCAAAGCCATAGCTACGATGGTTAGGATTAAAGCATATTTCTTTATGAGAACGGCTCAGTCAAAGCCCAGTCCTAAATCCAAGACAGAGTTTGTGGCAGGACTTGAAAATAACTGTCCACATATGGTTTACATCCAATCTGACTGCACTTGAACTATTTTTGTAAAGAAGGAATGTGAAACGGTTTCAGTCTGGGTGAAGCTGATGGAGAGAAAACTCCAAAAGCTTGAAGAGAAAGATGTTTCTACAAAGCGTTGACGTTAGAGGAGTTGCATACAAATGCGTGCCACGCTGATCGTAGTTATTTTTAAAACACATTTTATTGTCATGCGATGGTTCTTATCCACACTACTACTTTGTGTTGGTCTGTCATATGAAAATCCAATAAATGCAGTTACATTTTGTGGTTGCAATATGACAAAATGTGGGGAAAATGGGGTTTTAATACTTTTAGAATACACTGCGGTGAACCACCGTCAGGATTGCTTTAATGCCAAATCCAATGTGCACATCTCTGTTTTAGTGTCTGTCTGAGCCTGCATACCAGAGGCAGTGGGTAATCACAACTGTGATGATAGCAGGATCAAATGGTTCACATATAAGCCTTCGAGCAGCACTTCTCACCTCTTTATCGTGTTTGCACTTGCTGTTGGTGTTGCTGGGAGGCAACACGCAAAACCCAACAGGCGGCATCTGTTCTTTTTATCTTTATGCCTCCGGAGGGCTGACCAACAAGCCCCGCATCAAACAAAATAGCGAGAGGCTGTTAGGATTGTTCAGACCAAACGTCTCCCATGCGACTACGAAAGCAAAAACAAGAAAAAAAAAGAAAAATGTTTTCTCAGACACTTTGCCATATTATTGTAACCTGCCTGTCCCCTTTGCAGGAAAATGATGGACTCTGGCCAGATAGATTTCTACCAGCATGAGTCAGTGTGCAGCAACACCTGCCGCAGCACCAAGCTCGATGTGCTGATGAACAGCACCCGGCCTCCTCCAGGGGCCTTGGTGCAGCCAAGCCTGTCGTGTTTGGCTCTCGAGCCTGTTGGGGGACAGCTGGCTACTGTGACAGGTAGATTACAGTTGGCACTTAAAGTTTCCTGTTTTCATACCAATCACATATGCTCTAACCACTGTTTTTAGCATTGACATTTCAAACCAGTAAATTGAAGATCACTTTGAAACCAAGCACCAAAATATGATAAATGTTTAGGATTTGAAGCTAATTTTACACAGACACAACAGCTTTAGCCCTTTATTAACTAAATGTGTCTGCTCTGGTCCTATTTAAGGGGAAGCAGGCGATGCAGTGGAGTTGGAGGAGTCTTTGGAGGAAATGGTTGGAGCGGCATCAGAGCAGAGTAATGGTTCAACACAGCTTGTAAACTCCACAAACAACGGACATCCTGCCAACATAAAGAGAGCTGATTCACTTGGTAAATAAAAGGCAAAATAATGTTTATTGATTCAATATATATGTTCAATTAGACACCTGGTTTCGACCTGTTGGCCACCATCATGTGATCATCTGATTATTCTTTGGCTAATCGTATTTTGATATACATGACACATATAATCACAATTTGTACTGGTAAAATATTGAAATATGTATAATTTTTACAGTCCTGGTAATAATTTCACACCGAAAAAATGAGAAAAATCCAACCTTTTGATTGAGTACAATAACATTGGGGTGTGAGAAGTGATCACCATCTTTGTTATGTCATTAATTAACAGTGATTAACCGTATTTTTTGGGAAACCTAAGTTCAGTTTCTCCACCAAAGATGATTTGATTCTTTGATATAGAATCAAAAAATTGCTAATATTGAAACTAAAAGTTGTCAACAATCAACTCATATTAATTGAATAATATTATTCTATTCATTAAGTAATTGAATAAAATTTCAGGTCCAAAACCACATCTAACTAAGAAGAACATAAATCCCAGCCAAAAAAAAAAAAATCATGATCTGAAGACTTTTTAGGAAACAGTCCATGAACTGATGAGACAAATGTTGAGCTTTTTAGAAGGTTTGAATGCTGTTAACATCTTGGATACTCATAATTTCAGAAAAAAACACATCGTAACATCAACATTCAGACATGGTGGTGGCGGTGTGATAGTTTTGGGGGCTGCTGAGTTGCCCCCAAAATTCATGATTCATAACTGAACCATGAATTCTGCTTCTACCAGAAATGTCCAACCATCAGCTCATCTCAGATTTTATGAAGCAGGACAATGATCCAAAACCAAACTTATTCAAGTCTGGACGTAAATATGATCAATGTTGGATAACGGTGGCAAAAGCATTTAAAATCAATCATTTTAAAGCTTGTATACATATTTGTACCAGGGATGCTAATTGCGGAAGGTGTTGTATTTTCAGTTCTGTAGAAGGGAAAGTTTAATCACCTTGCCACCAAAAAACAAAAAAGAAAAGAAAAATCATCTGCCAGACGGTAATGTGCAGAAAGGATCTTTTCTCAAGAGAAGAGGTCTTTTGTAGGACAGGTTCTCAAAAAGATGTACACAGGGCTTGTCCAGCCATCGCTCTCGTCTCGCCTCTCGCAACCACGAGAGGTTTGACCTCTCTGACACAGCGAGCCGGCGAACCTCTGAATTGGCAGTTGTGGGATGCTCCTGCCGACTTGTCCTTAAAAAGTTGCTGACCACAGTCAGGGGGAAGAGTCATGTCCATTTATAAAGCCGCAGACAGCAGCTGACATTTCCAGGTGTGGCCTTTTTACTTGCCGGGGCTGCAGCTTTGATTTAAAAGCTTTTAAAGGTGACCTGATCAGGCACCGTTCCAGGCGGAGCTCAGTCAGTAAAACGGCCCGCTCATGATGCCCTGCAAAGCAGATTGAAGCGCCTCGCTGCACGTTCAGGATTGCTTGTCGCTGACTTTCGAACAAGTAGATAATTCTCAGCGAGCGTGCTCAACCTCTTGAGCTGGAGCTGTTCAGCTCCACGGAAATGTGCTTCATTCTAGTTTGTATTCCCCTCATGGAGGAATGAATTAAGCAAACTTATAAATGTAAATGGGAACTGGAACACTTTCAATTATTTTACCATCGTGACGGGAGTTTAAGCAAACATCAGGGGGCATACATTCATTTCCTCTAAGATAACACATCCCGCATGCTCTGCACTTCATCACCCTAACCTAACTTCTGTTTTTATCAGTTTTGTGCCGACATCAAGTTATATTTCATTCTCCTTCAAATCCGTCCTGCCCTCCTTTCTGCCTTCAGAGCTCCTCTTTCCTAACCCATTTTTCTGCTCTTTCCTCTCAACATCTGTTTCCTATTTAACACCTTCTCTTCTTTCACTTCTTTTTAAATGTTTTTTTTTTATCTATCTATGGCATCTAGTTCTGTCATTTCCTATGTTTTTTACTTGAAATCACAGCCCCGGATGTCCCCTTGCTTCTCCTTTCCACCACATTTATCACAGATTACTTATTAATCTTTACCGTATTTCTTTACTTTGTTTTTTTTAATTTAACATCCCACACTGGAATTCATATCTTCATGTGCATCAAATCTATACTGGTGCATTTATGGCTTTCTCTAATTTCTCTGTGGCCATTTTTAAACCTCTTAATGGAAGGGGAAAAAAAACAAACTCTCATATGCACAGAGTTCTTATCATGTAATGGATCCTCTTCAGGTGGAGTGATGAGACTTTGGAGGGGTGTAGCAGAGTCTGGGCTGATGGTGGATGTTCTGTCTGGCCTCCATGCTAAACTTGTGAACACCCTTAAAGGTGTCGAGCTTCGCAGCGAGAACGGCAGCCTGCAGGAGACAGGTATCAAACTGTGTCGTCACATTCACACTCAGTGCCTCGCAGAAGTATTACAACACTTGAACTTTTCGCTCTCCCCCCTCCCCCCACATTGCAATTTCAAGATTCAGCTTATTTTATTGGGATTTTATGTGGCAGACCAACACAAAGTAGTGCAAAATTATGAAGTGTAAGGAAAATGATCCATGCTTTTTAAATACTTTATAAATAAGAATCTGGAAAGTCTAGCATGCGTTTGTATTTAACTGCATGTACTTCTAAATAAAATCAAGAGCTATCAAACCTATGACATACAGCTGTGTAATTTACACCAGATGTACTGTGAAGGTTTTCAAGGGTTTGTTTTTATGGGAAATTAGGAGCTGCAGAGATTTACATCTCAGGTGGAAGTTTATATTAATAGTAACTCTGAGATGTAAACTCCACCAATCTGGAAGGATGGCAGGCAGAAAACTGTTATAAGAAACACGGCAATGATGTAGAAGAGGAAACTTTAGTCAGCTAAAACAAAGTGATACCTTTTGACCTACTATATGCAATATGTGTGGCAGAAAACTAGAACTGCACATCATAAATTAATCTTTACAGATGCTCTTTGTCGAAAACTGATTGAGCTTGAGTTGTTTTGCAAAAAGTATCTCAATCTAAACCCCAAAAAAGCTATAATTACGGCGTGCATGGTTCTGAATCAAGGGGGGTTGAATATAAGTGAATGCCAAGGTTTTGGGAAAAAACAAGCTTATAAATATAGATTTTTTTTCACCTGAATTGCTTATGTACAATTGAAAAAAGATTGTTATTCAACACTTTGACTTATTTTCTTTTTTTTTTTGTTGGGTCAGATGCTCATATACTGAATTCTCTGTGTGAGATGTTTGGACTTTTGGACTCGGTGAAACAAGCCCTGGACCTTCGATGCACTCAGAACCAAGAAAGTAAAATCCATCACGGTGTGTATGTCGAGAACGCTGCCAACAGCCGATGCACAGTCCACACGTTGATGTCCCCGGTGGATTTTACTAACTGTTGTCTTGTTTTGTGTAGTGCTGGACGAGATCTCGGAGGAACGCAGGAAGCAGAGCTGCAATCAAAGAAAATCTTACAAGACCTCATCCTTGAAACACCTCCGACCTCACCGTCAGAGCCAGCAGAAAAGACGCGTGCACGACTCGCTGTTGAATGAAAGGACAAACACAGTGATCCGTCCGCTTTCTTTCACTGGTTTATCTGCTGCATCTCATGCTCAGGTCTTTAGCCATTTCTCTGCCCCCGCTGGCTGGAGTCACCTTGTTGGAGCCGGCAGGACAGACGGAGTGGGCCAAAGTGGCAACGGGAAAAAAGATACCTCAGGACAGAACAAAGAGATGAAACAGAAGACGGTACTTCTTCCTGGAGATGGTCCGATCAGATGTGACGAGGCGGGGACGACAAAAAGCTCGCATGGCAGAGAGAACGTTAAATAGATTTCTGTGGCTCAAACTGAGAGCAAAATGCAAGAGATTAAATGAAAACCTGCAGCGGAGACTCCACACTCACTAATATGTTGTGGAACAAACCTTCCTCATTGTGAGGTATCCCATGTCTATTGGATTGGGTCTTTAGAACCACTGGTGGATATATAAACTATATCCAGATAAAGGTACTGTACACTTCTAACAGCATTTCCTGAAGAACAGTGTCTTATTAATGGTTACATTGTGGTGGCTGACTGGTATATAAATGTTTTTTTTTTTTGGTGTAATAACTACAGAAACAGAGGTACAGACGTACACCAGACAAATTGTGATGTTTACAATAAGTGTTGGTTTTAGGCACTTTATAAGAAAAATTCAATCAAAGAAAAAAATATTAAATAATCTCTTTATTGACACGCTGACCTGTAATGTACATTGTTAATGTATATTTTTTTTATTTTTCACTTTTATAATGCTAAAACACACAGTACTCAAGGAACTTAAAATACCATTTTGCTTTTTAATTTTATACCTTTTATATAAACTCAGTTACAACAAAGTAACTTTACATTAAAATTATGCCGTCCAATTCATTTCCAATTATCTAAAAAAGATATGAAGAATCAAATTTAGTCAGTTACTGATCTACATACCTTCTAACTTAATCCGAATTATAATACAGTACAGTCACATTCAGTTAATCATTTGAGACCTATTGGTAAAAGGTTAAGGAAGGCAAGCTGAATGCATAAAGTATCAGCGGGAGACAATTGGGAGTTGGGGGGACAGAGGGGAGACAGACACAGAAGCACCTAACCAGCAGTACTTTCCAAGGACAGAAATACAAAAGGAGAACACAAGGTTAACAGCAGCAATAGCTCACTCTCTCATTTTGTCTATGTAAATCCACCAAATTACTATGTGTGTAATTTTTAAATTATTTTATAATTAATCTGGCTGTAAATATTTGCCCAATTTGAATTAGAGGACATATTTATTGCAAGTCGAGTTTGTTGTTTAAATTTACAAAACAAACTAATAAGCAAACACACTTAGATATGTTTGAAATGTGGGATATCTTGATTTAAATTGTAAATTATACTGTAAAAACTGGTTTTATTATTTATTTTTACTTCATTGCATGTAATATGCAGAGAGAAATAATAATTTAATTGGTTAAATTGTTATTGGATTTGTTTACAACTCTAGATCTATAACTCTAGACTGTTCCTCTTTAGGTCCAAAGATAATAACTTCAGTTTTGGCACATTTATCTGTTCTATTCAGTGACTGGAGGGGTTCAGAGTCACCTGGTGACATGGTAATGTAGAGCTGTGTATCAACAGGGAAAAAAGGGCCAAATCGAATAAAAATGAGTGTACCTCATCTGTACAGACTAGTGGAACACACTGATTTTGACTCAATAGGTCACATGACCTACAAGCTATTGAAGAGAAATACTAAATTTTAACAACAACAACAAAAAAAAATAGATAACAAA